TTTTTTTTTTTTAGGCCCGGAGAACGAAGGTGTGAAATAGAGGAGGATGAGGGCACGTCAGTTAAGAGGAGCTTTAAATAAGTGGGGTTAAATAATATATTTAGGTGGGCTAAAAAATAAATAGGGTGTATATATATATATATATATTTATATATGTGTGTGTGTGTGTGTGTGGGGGGGGGGGGGGGATTTTTGAAGTGGGGGGGCGTGAGTCCACCCTAGCCCTTGGGTGGACTCGCCCCCGGACACGGAGCGAGATAATTGACTTTTATTAAATAGATATTTATCTCTTTTAACTTAAAAGAGAAATAATAATTTTATTGAGTAATAATTAATTGATGTTTATCTAGTGTGTGCGAAATAAACCATAAATTAAATTAGGTGCACTTTATTTTATACTAAAAAAATTAAATATCGCTAAAGGAATTTTAGCACTCTACAAATATCTTATATTATATTTTAAATTAAAACAATATTTTTGTGATTTTAAAAGTTGGAGGCATGTATTTATGTTATAAATCAATTCAAATTACATTTGAAGAAATACATATATATATATATATATATATATATATATATATATATATATATATATATATATATATATATATATATATATATATATATATATATATATATATACGGGTGCCCGGTGCTCCCACACCGGGTGGGGTCCGGGTATTAGAAATCATAAAAATCATAATTGTTAGAATTTGGGTCAAACTGAATTAAAAAAAGTGAAAAATATATTAGGAAGCACTGTAGAAATTTTCCTACACATTTATAAGATATAATATATATATATATTATACTGTTAGGTATTTAGCCCAACACATACACCACACACACATATATATACACAAAATATTACCTCACTAAGCAAGCCATATATATATATCTATAAAGTGGAGTCCACGTGTATATATATATATATATATATATATACATATATATATATATATATATATGCATATATATATATATATATATATATATATATATATATATATATATATATATATATATATATATATATATATATATATATATATATATATATATATATATATATATATATATATATATATATATATATATATATATATATATATCTTAAGTAAATTTAGTTACTATTTATTTTTCAAAAATGAAAAAAAAAAAAAAAAAAAAATAGCAAAACCCGAACCCGACCCGAAATAACCGGGTATCCGGTTGCCGGGTACCCGGTTATCTCGGGTCGGGTTCGGGTAATATTTGTTTTGCAAAAAACCCGAATAACCCGACCCGAATAACCCGAATAACCCGACCCGACCCGAATGCCCACCCCTAGATACATCACATCATCCACACGTTTCCTCTAATTATTTGAAGAACCTCGAAAAATGAATAATCAATTAACTGGAAAGTCGTGTTCTAACAACTCTTCCATGTTGTATTATTTTCCCAACTACTTACAGAAAAATAATGTTTTTTTTTTTTTGTTAAATAATATTTTCTTACTTATTTAGAAAGCAAGATTTTATATCTGCTGCAGCCTGCATGTGCACTCGATTTTAGTTTGTTGAACAAAATTATATAACATTAATATAACATTGAAGGACGAAATTCGGATAAATAACCATTGATAGTGTCTGATTAAGACCGCTGAAAATCTACTTTTTTTTTCCTGGATTAAGGTGGTGTATGAAAAATGCTTTTTGAAGTCATTATGCGGTTTTTCTTGCTCATAATCTGTTTTTAGGTATTTGCAAAATCAAGTTTTCCTTTTACATCTCTTAAAATAATCTGCTTTAAGCTATTTTTTTAAAAGCACCCATAACCTTGCTTTTTCAATTTGAGTTCATTTTCCGAAATATTTACAAACACCCCCAACTTTTAGAAATAAACACTTAAAACTAACTCCCTAACTTATGCTTTTAAATAATCATTTGCAAAGACCATCTAAGAATAAGACTGCACATAATAAGCCTAAAGTATGATTACAAAGGGTAATGTGCAAAATAGCCTAAACACACGAGACTTCAATGCTAAAATCCATTATTTTAGATATTTAACAACCACAAAATCTGAATCATGGAACAAATAATTTAATATCAATTTCAATTCGAAAAAAATTAATAATTATGAGTTCTGTATAAATTAAATTATAAATTTACTAACATTAAGAATTAAACTATAATTTTACATGTTTCATTGGTTGTATAGAAATTCTCGTAAATTCAGTTGGCAAAAGTCCATATAATATATGATGAATTAAGAAAGTAAATAACACGATTGATAAATAAATACAGCAACGAACAAACAGCAATTGCTGGTTATCACAAGTAATAATGCAGAAAATTAAGTGAATATTAAACACACAACAAGAAACACTTGGACAATATTTTTTTTTTTTTTTATTTAATTTGATAAGCTTAGCTTGCTCCTCCAGCTAGCTAGCTAGCTGGCTAGAGAAGCTGCAAATACTCATCATAGACTTGGTCCAACGTGTTGACATCACCTTCATGGTGGTTGAGCAATGGCAGAATGAACCCACCGGCGAGAAAATCATCTTCTTCCCCGCCGCCATAGCAGACACCGTCCCCCCCCAGCTGAAACATCGGCGGCCAGGGCACAAAGGATACAACTTCCGCCGCCGCCGCTGCCGCCGCTTCGCTGCTAGATGTCGTCCAATTACTGGCCAAGCTGTCATAGCTATTGGTCCTTGAGAACACAGCGGAAACTCTTATCGGCTTCGGCTTGATAGGCTGATCAGTAGTAGTGCCGGTATTAATAATACCTTCTGCTTGGGTGGTTGTTACCTTGACCTCCGGCGGCGGTGGCGGTGGCGGCGCGGCTGCAACCTTCTTCTTCTTCTGCTTCTTGACTGTCGTCTTCTTGGTATTGTTGTTGGTGGATTTAGCAGCTCGGTGTTGGATCCCCTTCAACTTCTTGAGGAGGTGGGTGTTCCAATGGTTCTTGATCTCATTGTCAGTTCGACCTGGCAATCTGCCGGCTATTAGGGACCATCGATTGCCCAGGAGTCCGTGCAACCGTACGATTAGATCCTCTTCATCTTCGCTTATATTTCCTCTCTTTATCCCTGGCCTCAGATAGTTCATCCATCTCAATCTACAGCTTTTTCCGCACCTCAGTAGCCCTGTTTTTTAATTATTTATTAATTTAATTCAGTTTTTAATTATTGCTATTACATTATTGAACAAGCTAGGAAGAAGAAATTGGAAAAGACGTACCGGCGTTCTTTGGGAGAGATCTCCATTGGCCTTCACCGTGTAGTTGTATGTAATTAGAGAGAAGTGTGTCTTCTTTGGTAGACCATGGTCCTCTCCTCAATCCCACTTTGGAGCAACAAGGGGATCTTCCCATTTCTCTCTCTCTCTCTATACCTTTTTTCTCTCTCTTCCTTGCTTTGACAATTATATATTATATATATATATACACGCACTCACTCACTAACTCAACCACCAACAACAACACCACCTCCTCCCTCTCTTTCTCTCTCACACACAACACATACTACGAGACAGTAAGAAGAGAGAGAAGATAGGGATTGGGCACGGCAGCCACAAGTTGGTGCCTTTGTGCTTCTTTATAGGCCACTTAAATTTATTCACACTTACACACACACTCTCATTAATTGCTACTACTTCTATAATAAAAGAATGACAACTTTTAGCTACTTTCTTCTATTTCTATTTATATATATTTTTATTTATTTATTAATATTATATTAATATTACATGAATTCTCGGGGATGCCGGCAAGTTTTACCTGTCAGATTGCATCTCGACTATTGTTCAGAGTCAACACTTTATCTTCTTGGACAATTTGCCTTGCAATTACAACTCTTTTTTTTTTTTCCCTTCTCTAGTCGAAATCTTTGCGATTGCTATTTATAAGTGGTGCAATTTCCCAACACAAACTCCCAAAACAGCCATACGCGCGGTCCATACCAGTGCCAGTATATCAAAGGATAATATTTTAAATTGCAATCATTTTTTTTTTAATTTATTTATATCTAATTTTATATCATATGTCCAAATTGACATCCACACTGTATATGTATGTATGTAGTCATTATTGTAGATTAGTAATTTAAATTCTCTAATTACTATTAACAAGCATCATATTTATTGTAATAATTCAATGGCAATAATTATTACCATAATCTATAAAATATTTGTCAAATCAGCGGTAATTATAATTCAGTGGCAATAATTCAACTACTACTTTTTTTTAATTAACATGTCGAATTATTTTCATTCCCCAAGTATTATTGTAAATGATACTGTTATTGTTTTTCCTCGAGAGGTATGAATGCAATCACCTCTATTTCTTGAATCAGAGAACTCATGTTTTACATGAGATTTAAGGGTTTTTTGCAAAAACCACCCACGTGTGATCTCGAATAGCTGAAAAATTCCTCGTGTTAAAAATATTAGCACAAAACCCTCTGTGAAAATAGTCAAAGCCAAAAAGGACTCTACGAGCTCGATGTGTTATACACTCGCGCTTTGTGCGACTGAGCCTCTTATTTCGTAACTAGAATGACCTAAATACCCTTCAAATCATTTTTTTGAAATTTATACATTTATCCAATATTTTTCATAAGCTCAAAATGAAGTTTCAGAATTTTCAATTCAATCCCTAATAATTTCAGAAAAGCCCTCTCTTCAAATTGCATAGAACCAATGATATGATCCAGCCAATAACGCGTGGTAGTGCCGAGCTGGATGAAGGAGTTGCTGACTTGGACGAGCTGCATGTGCCAAGAGGACCGATTACGCGAGCTCGGGCCAAGCGCATTGAAGCAGCCATGCTTAGCTTAGTAGAACACGAGCTCCGAAAGGAAGAATTGACGAAGTCTAGTTCGATCCCAACTGAGCTTAATTGGAGCGAATTATCGGGCCAGATTGTGAAGCAAGCCGAGCTCAAGGACTTGAGCCCATCTAGTCATCCAGCCGAGAAGACGTGACTTGGAAAAGATGATTATTGTTAATTTTCGTATTTTATTATTGGACAATTTATTTCTTGCTTTTTAGAGTCCGATTTGGACTAAATTTAGTTTATTTTGTTATTTCCTTAGAATAGATAAGTTAGGATTTAGTTTCCTTGTCAGATTAGGTCTCTTTGACACTTATAAATAGGTTGTTTTAAGTTCATTATTATTTGGACGTTTTTTAAGTATTATTTTGAGAGATTAAAATTCTCCTCCGTTCTTCTTCAACAACTCTTCGGGATATTTTGCGAGTGGATTCTTGTGAATTATTCTTAGCAATATAGTATTGGTTTCTGATTCATTATAATCACGGGGTCAATACTTCCACCTTGATAATATTGGTTTCTAGCTCTCTATACCTACGGGGTCAATATTCCGTATTCCGGCAATCGAATCCTTTGTTTTTTGGATGTTTCGTTCTTGCTTCCGCATAAGATTATTGGGTCTCGTAACAAGTTCTACGGGGTTCGTATCAACCAAATTGCAATTTTCATAATTTCTCAAATCTTCATCATGTTCTTTCCCCATGTCCTTATTCGGATCTGCTCCTCGCCAAAAAAAAAAAAAAAAACAATATCCAGCGATTCATCTTCATAACCAGCCCGTTTGTTAAAGAAGAAAAAACAACAAAAGTCGCTTTCTCCATTTTAACCCGCCAGAAGACAAAGACACTTCACGCACAAAAAACACGGGCCCCAACACAACACACACGCACAAAACGTAACTCAATCCAAAATCTTGATTTACAAGAGATCTGGAAGAACCTATCAAATATAAAGCATAATCTTTTTTTGGGTGGGAAGGCAGGCGGTGAGGCGGCGGTGGTAGGTCGTGATGGTGAGGTGGTGGTGATGCGGCGGCGGGAGGGAACTCGATGGAAGAATTGGGTTGGAGGAGGAAAATGATAGCCGTGGGTGATAATTTTTTATTTTTTATTTTTGCATTTTATTTATTTAATTAAAACATAGATTATTAAAAAAAATATAAGGATTAGTTTAGTCATTTCATATAAGTCAACTGCTAATTTCGAAATAAGGGGTAATGTGCTTTGTCAAAAATAACATAGGAGGTCTATGCTAATATTTTTAACATGAGGGGTATCACTCATCAAACATCATTAATCACACTTATTTTGTCTTTTGTACATTAGAAAGTTGCAATATACACGTGAATCGTGAATAATCATTTCTAGACATTCATGATATGCGATAAATTTAGTAACAAGATTGACCATTTCCAACTCCTACTAACATTTTCTTCACATTACAAAACTCCCGTGTACTCATTGTTATGTTGGATCAATTCACTCTTAGCATGTGTGCCTAAGAGGGTGTTTCACTAAGGGTCCATTTGGATGGAGGTATTTGGGGAGGGATTTGATTTGGGGAATGAATTTGAAATGACTCCAATTTTGGAGTCATTTGAAATCCATCACTATTGCTCCAAAATCAACTAAAAAGGAGGGGTGGGGATTTGAAATCCATCTCCAAATCACTCAATCCAAACAAGTCCGAGGGATTTGTTATTATGGATTTGAAATCCCTCCCCCAAATCCCTCCATCCAAATGCACCCTAAGGTTATTTTAAACGGTTGATAAGGTCCTACGTCTGATAAGATGTTTTAAGAGTTGATAAGCTGTTACGTCTTATTTTTAGGATTAATTTTTAGAGTGTTTGGATAATTAGCTTATTTCCTATTTTTACTCATAATAAGATCTTAAATAAAAAGGTGGGGTACAGGTACTTTTTTAAAAAGATTTTATTTGCTCTCCAACAACTTATTTTTTAAAAAATTAAGATTTTTTTAAAAAAAATTACCAAACACTTTGGAAGAGCTTATAAGCTCTAAAACATCTTATAAGCTCATTTTTACATCTTAAAAGCTTAGCCAAACACCCTCTAAGTTTATAAGCTCATAAAAACATCTTATAAGATTTAGGAGTTTATAAGCTGTTAAAAAATGTTGGTAAAAAAATTAAAAACGATCATATTTTTTTTTTAAATAAACTGTTAGGGAGTTTATAAGATGTTTTAAAAAAAATACTACAACCCCACATTTTTTCTTTAAGATCTTATTTGTTTCTTTACTAAAACACCAAAAATACAAATCAAATTTACATGAATGCTAATAACATTTATATTTTATCAAAACAACGTATTCTTGTAATCAAGATTAATTGTTAGTTAAAATATAATTATCATAATAATTGTAAAAAAAATTATTTTCTATTTATATTTTATATGTATATAAAAATACCCAAATATTCTTATTATCTCAATAATAAATTATATACTTTTATCTTTCAAAAAAAAATTATATTTCTTTACAAGCTTTATTTTATATTAATATATTAATGAACAAAAAATTTAAACTTTCACAAACTTGTTTCATCAAAGTATTTTATTACACTTCATTTTATTTTAAAAAATAATCAAATATCATATCAACATACATAAAAAAATTATTTAGTTTATTTAGTATATAATTTTATATTATTAATTTTATTTGAAAAGTTAATTTGTAAATACTATAATAATATTTAGGGGTAATATGCCAGGGGCCCCTGAAACGAAACTTAATTTGAACTAAATGACAAGTTCAAATCCAATCTTTTAATTAAATCCTTAGTTTGAAATAATATATGAGCCACATCCCTAATTTTTTTGTTATCCCTATCTTACCCTTATACCCTAAATCCTATAACTTATACATTCACGTTTCTATATTACTGTCAACCACAGTAATATTATTGTGTTTAAAGTAATAATAAAAAAATAGTAGAAAGTAATATTATTATGTTAACCAGTCAATACATCAAACAAAATAAAAAGGGTAAAAAAGTATTGATTTCGTTGACAGTAATATTATTGTGTGTTACAGTAATTTTACCGTCAATGACAGTAATATTATTACATAGACTTGTCAACAAATCAAACAAAATAAAAAAACAAAAAAAATAATAATATTGATGTGGTTTACAGTAATTGTACTGTCAACGACAAAACAATTATGGAAATTCATTAGTGTTCATTTTGCATGATTTTCACTTATCAATTCTTCGTGTTTTGGTCTTCGTTCGTCCTTGTTTTCGGCTTTATTTGTATATATTATGTTGTTTTTGTTTTATTTATATTTTAGGTAAAGAGAAGCTATTTTTGTCGATTCGAAACGATTTTGAAAACGAAGCCGAAAATCAAACCAAACACGTGCAAAAGTGCATTCTCGCGGATTGTGGCAGTGTTTGGCATTTCAAGCATAACGTTTGCATACAAAATCCGATTATGCTGATTCAAGTGGCCTTAGAAAGCTAACTTCAAGGCCTAAAACTTTTGTGAAATGCAAAATTGTCAAATTCGGACAACAAAAGGGTCAACACACGGTTTGAAGTTGACGCAGAAAGCCAGATCGCAATCCACCTTCCTGTATCGCGATCTGGGGGTCTTACAGAAGGTTTTTTGATCAGGACCCAGATCGCGATCCACATTCCTGTATCGCGATCTGGGGGGTCTTATGGAAGGTTTTTTGTTCAAGAACCAGATCGCGATCCACAATCTCGTGTCGCGATCTGGCAAGGCGGTGCACAGTTTTCTAGGCTGCCAAATCGCCATCCAAGAAGCCCAGATCGCGATCTGGGCACATAAATTGATCGCAGTTTTCAGGTC